ATCTCCGTCGTCATCTAAAACATCATTTTCAGCCTCTGTTTCAACCAGTTCAGAATCAGCAGATTGAGAGGGCATGCCAAGCTCCACATGCAGCTTGGTCTTATCACTTTCCAACCTTTCTAAATGATTTTCAGACACTTTACCTTTCAAATAGGGCATGTTCAGCTCATTAAAAGTAATGTCCCTACTAGTTATGATCTTAAAACCACAAGCCTCCCTACTCCACAGCCTGTAACCTTTCACCCCATCAGGATAACCTAAAAAAACACATTTCTCGACTCTAGGTTTTAATTTGCCTGAGTTTTCATGAGAATAGGCTGCATATCCAAACACTCTCAAATGTGAGTAATCAGGGACAGATCCAGTCCACTGATCTTCAGGTGTCTTATAACTTAGAGCACTAGAAGGGGTTCTATTAACAATGTAAGTGGCTGTCATCAAGACTTCCCCCCATAAGGTTTTAGGCACACCTGAACCAACCAACATGCACCTCAATTTTTCTAGCAAAGTTCTATTCATTCTCTCAGCCAACCCATTCTATTGAGGGGTATAAGGAGCTGTTTTATATCTCCTAATACCATTCTCAGTGCAGAAAAGATCAAACTCAGCATTACAAAACTCAAGGCCATTGTCAGTCTTAAGAGTTTTAACTTTCTTTCCAGTTTGGTTTACTATCAACAGCTTCCAGTTTTTAAACTTCCCAAAAGTCTTAGATTCGTGCTTTAACAGATAAACCTAAACCTTTCTAGAATAATCATCAATCAAGGAAAGAAAATATCTATTTCCTCCTTGAGTGATAATGGATGAAGGCTCCCATAAATCGGAGTGAATATATTCAAGGACAGAGGTAGGTATGTGCTTACTTGTGTTAAAGTGCAATCTATGTTGTTTTCCTAATGTGTAGTTTTCACAGAAAGGGATTCTAGGAATGAGATCCTTTTCAAAAACACCCATTTTGAAAAGAATATGTAGGCCCTTTTCACCTACATGGGCTAATCTCTTGTGCCACTTTAAAGTGGCATCAAGTTCAGTGTTTGAAGACTCAGTCATCCCATTAACGACAGCACTAGCCCTAGCAACATAAATCATATTCCTCTTAACACCTTTAAACATCACAAGAGATCCTCTCATCACCTTTAATAAACCATCATCCACCTTACCTAGCAAGCCTAAATCATCCAAGTTTCCCATTGAAATGAGGTTCCTAGATAATTCGGGAATATATCTTACCGTTTCTAAGGTAAAGATGTAGCCATTTTCAAATTTCAATGTAACATCACCTATGCCTTCAACTCTGCAGGCAATATTGTTGCCCATCACAACCTCTCAACCATTTATCTCCTTGGAGGAGTTAAACCTACTCCTTTTTTTGGAGATATGTGGATAGTACAACCAGAATCTAGGATCCATTCTTGGATCTGATTCTCACTACCAACAATATTGGCAGAATCACAGTTAAGAAACGGCAGAGTCATCACATAGACATCAACAGAATTTGAATCACTTAGCTTCACTATATTTTCCTCATCAAATCCTTTTCCTTTCTGTCCACTCTTCTTTTTATAATAATCTTTTATAAAATGACCAGTTTTCTCACACCCATAGCATTTCTTATTCCCAGTTATAGCCTTAGACATGCCTCTTCCCTTAAACTTCTTCATACCATTGTTTCCCTGATTGCTAAAGCACTCTTGGTTACCACTTAACCTGTACATAGTCCTCCTCAGTTTTAGACTTAGACCTGCCTTTGCCCTTGAACTTTTTCTTAGTAATGCTACCCTGATTATTAAAACCTTCTTGGTTACCACTGAACCTGTTCAGGGTCCTCCCCCTAACAAACAAAGTCTCAGACCCACCATTCCCCATTTGAGACCTAAGTTCTAACTCTCTACTTCTCAAATAGTTTATTATATCAAAAGTAAGAGTATCTCTACCATTTTTTGTGGCAGCCTTAACATATCGATAGGTTTCAGGAATGGCATTCAATAACACAACAACCTTATACTCATCAGAGAATTTGTCAGCAGCATTGGTTATATCTCAAACCAACTTATTAAAGGTATCAATGTTGTCTTCTATGTCCTTAAAGGTATCTAACTTAAAGCTAAAAAACCTCTCCAATAAAAACAACTTATTAGGTAAGGACTTACCAAGGTACGGTTTCTCTGACTCATCCCATAAGGCCTTAGCAGTTAGCACTCTCTTCCTTTCATACTTTCCTTAAAACTTGATCAGATCATCCCATAAGTCCTTAGCACTTTCTTGCTTTCCCACTTTCCTTAAAACTTGTTCAGACAAATGCAAAATAATAGAAGTGTATGCTAGTTCATCATCTTCAAGAATTTGATCAGTTGTCATAGTTTCAAGAAAGGTTTGTGTTATTGTTTTAGCAATCTTTTGTTGAACTAAAATATCTTTCATCTTTTATTGCCAAATGGGAAAATCTCCTTTTCCATAAAAAACAACAAATTCAAAAGTATGTGCCATGATTTATAATTCAGAAATAACACAAAGTATTTCAAGAAGGTAAAATTATGACAGTTGATGCACTCAAGAAAAAGGTAAATTGATCTACACAAAATTATAAAAGGAGAATAGGTCACAGAGAATAAACAGTAAACAATTATCACAGTTATTTAATGTTTTCAAAAGAATTTTAGGCAATTATACAAAATAGAATCAAGAAAGTAAGCTAATAAACAACAATCAGGTATTAACAAAGTATACAGTATGCAGAATCAAGTAACCAGAACTACAGATGCACCAAGAATAATCAAGTTCACCAGGATTCCTTGATAATCACATTCTCAGGTCAAAGCTCAACTTGATCACTCCACAACGATAATAGAAATAGTGAATCAGACACTGGTGATGGATAGTTCAGGGTTGAAATGTGCAAACTAGAGGGCAGCTAACGCATAGTTACCAACACAACTGTTTCAGTACTGTACGGGAACACAAAAGTCGCATCAGAGAGCGGTGTTCCACCAAAAGGCCACGAAGGAATCATGAATCAATTGAAAAACTTAAAATTACAAATCGAAGGCTCTCAAACACTATTACAATCGAACCACCCTAATACATTAATCTATACACAATAACCACTGAACATCGAAGGCTTCACAGAAAATAGGCTAAGAACATCCATCCAAATTCCTTTAACACTGTAGGTAGATTCACACAGAACCCCCCCATAGTCAACCAAGTAAACACTAAGCTACTACCATGAGACTGAATGATTCACACTACCAACAAAGATGCCCTATGAACACTCTCATTTCATAAAGAAAACGACTTAAGAAACGGATTCCTGAACCAACTTCACACAGAAGAATATGGAAAAAGAGAGAGCACTCGGAAGTCTCCAAAAGAAGGAGAGAATACCAAAAGAATAGAATAATTCTCGAAACCCCTGGAAACCCTCAAAATATCAAGACCTCGAGATGGAGTAGATCTCATCCAACGGCTCAGAGTAGCTGAAGCTTTAACTTAGTATGGACCGGGTATTGGGCCTGGTTTCACTAGGCCAACTTTAGGCTGTATTAAGTTATATTGGAATGGGCCGAAGGCCAATCATCATTTCCTTAAGTGGGATGGACCATGGCATCACAGCCTCACTGTTTGTAATAGAGGCTAGATAGAACTTGAAGAAGCTGTTGGTTTTTTCGTACATTCTGTACTAATTCTTGGTCAGATGCTCAACGGGTGATTAGGTCGTAAAACTGAACATCAGGGCCCTTCGGGGTGAAAAAATCCCTGTGTTCTGATTTCCTTTAATTTTTGCAATTTTGTGGTTGTTGAAAACTTCAATCCTTAGAATAACTTGGTTTGGGGTCTAACAAACCTCTTATTAGTTTTTTTTTTCTTGATTTTAAACAAATTAATACAAAATATTTAATGTCTTTGAAGTACTCTATTGAATCAATGGATTTAAATTAAGTTGTTTTTCAATGTTGAAGCTTGCACTACATCAGATTCTATAATTATTCTATTGATTCTAGGTTTTGTTCGATTCTTTCAGAACACAACGAAACACTGTCACGATTAAGTTCACATCTTGAGATATAGTGTAAAACTTCTAATACATGTATATTTATAGTGACCACTGACTGTAGCATTGAAGGTCATACTTACACTGGACATAATGTGTCATTTGAGTAATATGCGATTGTCCTTTTTTGTATTGTGCTATTATGACCTCTTCTGTGTAGCATGTAACCCTTCTCTGTTTGGCGTGACTCGGCAAAGTTTCCAATGAAGTAAGGGGGTCCGATGAAGTAAGGGGTTTAGCCATGCAAATCCCTCTCCGGTGTGTGGAAAATGAATTGTGATGAAAATTCTCTCTGTATTGGATATTAAAAGATTTTGAGAGAATCCTTTCTCTATAATAATCTAAAAGATCAGTGAGTTTAATTGGATTATTTGTACAATGGTTTGGACAGAGAAAACGTAAGTTTAATTTCCAATTATTTAGGTTGTGAACATATAATATTTGAAATAATTTTCTGATTTCTGAAAAGTAAAATACTTGAAATGTATTGTCACTTCCACAAATTTGAAGGATTTGGTGAACGAAAAAAATTGATGCCACCACGTTTTGACGTTGTGTATAAAAAGTCGTCTTATAAAATAATAACCTGAATTAATTATATTCCCATTGCCGGACAAACTCCTAATCAAATAGAAGTCTACAGTACCTTTACTAATCCTTCAACTAAACCTTTTTTTTTGGTCCACCGGCTACTCATTGGCTCCAGCTGTACTTCCAAGTTGTTGACAGAAACACATTCCAAAGCCAATTCTCTATGATACTGGCATTTACCGGTTCCCGTTACGCTAGCAATATAACCGTTATAATCTTTCGTCATCGATTCACCATTCCTTCTTATACTGTGAGAGTGAAAACACAAATATATATAGAGCTTAGACAGAACGAGTGGGGGAGCGTTCGCAGAAAGTAGAACCAGGTAAGTTTGCAGAACGTGTTTTGTGGTGCAAACATGTTACCGATCAATCAAGATTCGCACAAATTCTCTTCAAAAGAAACGGATTTAAACGATGATTTTCAAGAACCTGAATTTTCCAGCGGAATTTGCTGTTCTTTGTGGAACATATCGTGTTTCTGCTGCCGTCCATCCGACGGCACTGTCGTATGGGAGCGGCTTCAGACGGCGGAGAAAGGAAGAGAGAGGGCTCAGGCGAGTAGTTGGTGGAGGAAAGGTATAAAAGCATTCAATAAAACGAGGGAATGGTCGGAGATTGTGGCCGGTCCGAAGTGGAAGACATTTATTCGCCGGTTCAACAAGACCGGGTCCAAACACGGGAAATTCCAGTACGATCCTTCTAGTTACGCTTTGAATTTCGACGACGGACTGGGGCAAAACGATCAATTAGAAGATGATCGGATGTACCGGAATTTCTCGTCGAGATATGCGGCGGCAATTCCGGTGTCAGGTAATGCGGACAAGGACGCGCCGCCGCTAAAATGAGGAGGCAGGAGCGAGTTGAAGAATGGTGGTGGGTCGACTCGGCGGGGAATTGACGGCGGAGAATGCGGACGTGCTGTGTTGTCAGATGAATGATTAGGTCGTTTGAGTCTTGAAATTGGTCGGATAATTAATTATTCGGATTATACTGTTTTACATTATTTATTTTGTTGATAATTTTTTCATAGGATTGATTATTGTTTATGTTAAATTTGGGGAAATTTATTTGTACACGGCATTTTAAAATTTTTTTTCTAGGGTTAACTGTAATGTAATTTTGTACCTAGAATTTCATAATAAGCTACTGTTTATCTCCCTTTAAAATGAAACTTTTTAATTCTCATATTTATTTCAATTACCCATTTATATAATAAAATATTTTATGCATAAAATAAAAAATGTTATTTACTTTTTAACCACGTATTCATTATAAAAAATTCACTGTTCAAAACTAAAACTCCATTTTTTCAAAATAATGACCGTCAAATAGGGCTAAATTTTGGAACAATAAGTGAGAATATCTACTTCTGCAAAAATGATTCAACTGCAATAATTATGGTACCAGGATGAGGTAAAACTAAAGGGGCAACTCAGACGAGCATTGATTCATTTAGCCGAATAACTCTAAAAACTCATAAAACAATCAGAATACATTTTATAGACCCTCCACTAGAACTCTACATGAATTAACAAGGTAATCATCAACAGTTCATACTTGAGTACAAGCTAAAATTTTTCCCCATAGTAATAAGCAGTCCCGACCATAAGGGCAACAGTCGCGCCTTGGACGACCACACGAGCTCTCATTAGCTTTTGACCTAAATGTGAATTTCCCTGCCTAAAGCTAATCAGTCCAGCAGTAAGCACTCCTGCTGTCATCAGTGCACCTGAAAACCAGAAAACATACTATTGACATATATTGATCTAGGCAATATCGGCATGTAACATTGTCAAAAATAATCATTTCACAAAATCACTAGAACAATTTAATCCAACATTGACAGACTTTTTATTTTGGGTAATTAGTACAAAATGTTTATATGTTTCACTTTTATTGTGCAAAATGTCCACACCTTCCAATTTTTGATATTTTCACCCTTGATTCTACCTTTCATTACGCAAAACATCATTTCCATCAATTTCCATTCAAATGCTTCATTAAGTGAACGCGTTAACAGTACTCTTGTCCAAAATGATCGTCTTCTCACAATTTTTTCATTTTCTTCCCATTGATTACTACTTTTTGATGAACAAGTAACGTCACTGTGGCAAAATTATTAGACACTCCAATTCTTTCCTCAACCTCATCATCAATGGCCAACGCAATAGGAAGGGACATATTCACAACACTCTCCCCTTTCATTCTCAACAATAGAAATGCAAACTCTGCAAATACTCATCTTCTCTCGTGAACCCTTTTAGTGGGCTAGCCCAATCCCTCACTTCTAAATGAATCCACTCAAGATCAAACTTTTGTAAGCCTCACCATTGGCATTGTCTCAGTGTCTGAAATTTTGGTCGCCCTTTGGATTTCTAGCACCACAAGATCCACCAATTGACCCATATGTGGCTCAATCAAAGTACTTTTCACTACCAAAGAATCCTTATTAGAAGGAGATGATAAAGAAAACATTTCTTTATGGAAGAGCACAAAGGAGGCAAATGGACTGGAATGGTATATGCGTTTGGACTGTTTGGTCTATCAACTAAAAAAAATGGGAAAATTGTGGGAAGACGAGTGTATCCTTCTCTTTGGACAAGAGTAATGCTCATGCATTCATATAACGGAGCATTTAGATAAAAATGGACGTAAATGACTTTTTACGTAATAAAATGTAGAATTAAGAGTGAAAATTTCAAAAATTGGAAGGTAGGGACATTTTGCACAATAAAAAAAAAGTAGGAACGTTTTGTGCTAATTACCAGCGCTATTAAACCCAGACAGGACCGGCTAGTTCAATCCGGAAACCGTCGAACCGGATCATGGTCCGGTTCGAGCCTCATATTTTAACCGTGCAGGTAACCCGTTAAAGACCTGAAGGAAGCGCCAGTTTTTCCATTACGTTGACCCAAATGTAAAGAAACCGCTCGGTCCACATACTTCATATAAAAACCCATAATCTCTCATACTCGTACCCTCATAATCACATTCGATGCCCTAGCCCGTAATAGAGCCTAAGCCTTCTCTTGCAATTTCACTCCAAAGAATCCAAACCTTCAATTTCAAGTTATATTAGATGGAAGAAGATGTAAGTTTAAAATTTATGATTTTTTTTTTTTTTTTTTTTTAATTTCAATTTTTTGCCATTAAATTATGTGAAAAATATTTCTCTAGATGGGTGAATTTTGGAAGATTTTTACAAGAATTTCATGTTATAGTTGTCTGTATGTTGTATACTATCTACAACAATTGTGTTTTAAATGTAATTTTATGGGTGAATATGGAATCGATTTATTTGGTTAGTGTTTGCAATTTCACATTGAGCCGAGATGGAAAAGTTTAAATGAATTCTTAATGTTTGGTTGAGTTTCATAGTTTTAGTTTTTGGGTTCTTGGATTTTCTTTTCCTAGCTTCTATTAATTATTTGTCGATCAATTGATGAATTGTTGGTTGTAATTAAGTTAGCTCTGTAAGTATGCTTCAAGAACTGTTCGGGACCTCCTTTTCTGTGCATTTCCTAGAATTGGCTATTAAAAGCACCATTTATTTGGCTATAAAGTGTTGAATTTGTAATGGTTTTGAGTAGTTGGCAGTAAATAGGACTTAATTTATAGACATTGAGAAACATCAGGGGAAAAAGGTGCCCAATTATAAGTAATTTTATCTTTTTTTCACACGATTTGCGTATAGTTAGAGAGTAGAAAGGTGAGATGAAGAATTTTTAATATTCGGTTGACTCATTTGGTGTCGCAAAGTCTTAATGTTTCCAATTGTTTGTGGCTCTCCTAATGATAAATAATTTAACATAATTTGTGTCTTTGTATAGTTCATTGGTGATAATAGTACACCACATTCTTCTCCACCAAAAAGTCATGCTAGAGGAAAAACATATATAGCATGGGATCATTGTAAAGAGATTCTTGAAGCTGGTACTAATGGAAATAAAAAGAAATTTGTTTGCTTGTATTGTGGAAAGAATTTTGCTGGATGTGGTATTAATCGCGTCAAACAACACTTAGCGGGGTTAAAAGGTGACGTGGATTCATGTTGTAAAGTACCTCATGATGTAAGATTCAAAATGAAAGAAAACTTGGACAACTTTGCTGCAAAGAAGCGTAAAATTCAAGAAGTTCTTGAAGAGTGTAATCTACATAGTTCTTATTATAGGGAACAAGAAGAGCAAATGTATAGAGATTTGCATGATAATGATGTTTAAGAAATCACCCCCCTAGTTCTAAAGGAAAAGGTATAGTTATAGGTAAAAATGAAAAAAAAGGAGTGGGAACTAAAGTTTTAAAAGAACAAAAAGGAATTGGTTCTTACTTTCATGCCAACAACAGACCTGGTAACCAACCTAATATTAAAATTGTTCTTTAGAGTAAAGAAGCTATAGAAAAATGTGATTTTACTATATTGAGATGGATGATCAATTCGTGCATTCCTTTCAATTCTGTAAATTTTGTGTATTATCAGCAAAGTATAGATGCCATAGCTAGTATGGATCCTAGGTATAAAGGTCCAAACTTTCATATTCTTCGTAGTTATTTGTTCGCTAGAAATGTCAAGGGGCAGAGAATTATGTTGATAGTTATTGTTCAACTTGGAAGACGACTGACTGTACAATTATGGCAAATGGTTGGACAGATCAATATAGAAAACTCTCATTAATTTTCTAGTTTATTTTTCCGAAAGAATAGTATTCTTAAAATCTGTAGATGCTTCAGATGAATAAAAAATTGCTGATATGTTATATAAGTTGTTTCGAGATATTGTGTTATTTGTGGGTTCAAATCATGTGGTCCAAATGGTGATAGACAGTGCTGTTGGTTGGTTATTGAAGCAAGAGTTTCAAACATTATTTTGGTCTCCAAGTGCAGCCGATTGCATAAATCTAATGTTTCAAGATATTAGAAAACTGGATAAAGTTAGTAATGCCGTATTAGAAGCATAAAAAATCACAAAATATATATTCAACCATCGCTATCCTTTGCATTTGATGAGGAAGTTTACTGGAGGAAAGGAAATACTTTGACTTGCTCCTACTCATTTTGCCACTAACTTTATAGCTTTACAAAGTATACTGGCCCAAAAAGATTCATTAAGAGAATGTTGACATTTAGAGATTGGACATTATCAACATATGCTAAGGAAAGCAAATGAAAAATATTTGTTGATGATGTACTTGATTCTGTGTTTTGGAAAAAGTGTGCTACTATTGTGCAACTTACTGAACCCCTAATTCATGTTTTACGAATTGCTGATAGTGATGAAAAGCCTTCAATGGGCTACTTGTATAAAGCTATTCATGTAGCAAAAAAATGAAATGGAACGTAGATTTCAAAGAAGGAAGACTAGAATTGCTCTTGCAAATTATTCAGAATCGATGGGATAGTCAATTACATAAGAATCTTCATACTGCTGAATATTGGTTAAACCCTTCTTTTCAATATAATAATCCAGATATGGAAAATCATAAACAAACTATTTCGGGACTTTTAGACGTAATTGAGAGGTGTGCTTATGGTCAACCTGATTAAAGAAGCAAATTAACTAGTGAGATGAGACTATTTAGGTAAGCACATAGTGACTTTGGACGTTTATCTGCTGTAGCTGAACGCTACAGAATGGCTCCTGGTAAAATAAATATTAAATTATGTACTGTGTTGTATTATTTAATACAAATTTTAGTTTCTATAACATACATCTATTTTAATTTGTTATTAATTTTTACAGATGAATGGTGGATGTGTTATGGTAGCAGGGCACCAAACAGACAAACACTCGACAATTTGAGTATTAAGTCAAACATGCAATTCTTCAGGTTGAGAGAGGAATTG